TTATCTAATTCGAAGTCGACAAATATTACATCGACTGGATGATGAGACAAAATATGGATCTGTTTTACTCAGTTTTCTAAACATGTAAAATAAATACTTTACTTCATAATATAACAATAAATGATCATATTCATTCGTGAGAAACTAACGCTAATTAAGTATAGTTTTAAATTTAACACTAAATTATAAGCCTCTGGAAAATGGAATGACATTCATTCAGTAAATAAGTTTATATATATTGTAAACTAAATTGACCATCAAGTTTTCTCATCTATTTACTATGACGAATATGTATATATTTTTTTCTGATGCTTATCTTAATATGACGATAAAAATCACACAATTATACGATTTTAATTTAGTGAATTTATAGTGAGCTTTTTGAACTATCGAGAAATAAACATTCATTTGACGAGCGGTTGTCTATCTTCATAAGACCGATAATATTAGCTAGTAAATAACAACAACATGGACCGATAGTTATCTGAATGATTCCAAACCCTCAATTTATGAGGTATGGTCAATATGTACAAATGAATCTGTGTTCATTTATTGAATCTTGTAGTGTTTTCTAGGCATTTTAGAAATAGCGTAGTTCCTAACTTTTAGTGGTAAATTTTATTACCAATATATTCGTAACTTATTAAATGAACACGATATTTGAATTAATCACAAAGTTTAATCCCCGAAAACAGTAGAGTCGAAAGATGAACTTAACACTCTATCAGCTAAATAAACCCTGCGTTTCTGAATCAAAACCTCATAGCAACATTTATATTTTGATAATGGTGAAGAATTCCAAGTGGTTTTAATGCTTCTTTAGTGTTCATTTTTTAAGGTTTGAGTCAGTTCAATAACACAAAAGATACTCCTAAATGCCGTTATACAAACCACCGCTTACTTTAAAAATCATTTATTTCTTTACACAGTGAATTAACAACATACCGCGCACGAACTAAATTGTCACTAAGAAATTTCTCCGGCAAATTTTCAACAGGTCAAACGTACTTACAGAAGCTTGAGTCTCTTGAAATCTACTTTTCACAATTTGACACCCACCGATCTTGATCATAATCAACATTTAATATAAGCTTAAAAATTTCAAGCTCACAAATTCGCTGACCGAAACACCATCAAATAATCGTATATCGCTCGGTTTTTCAGTTCGGGAAATTGACCGTTTTTGATTGAAAATTATTACTCATATCCTGAAATCTGTTAGAAATATAACCCGCAAAGTCGTACAACATTTAACTAATCATTGTATGTTTGTTACCAAATGAAACGTGTGTTATCAATATTAAATATAAGATAATTTGTGTACACGTTCTAAAGTTGATCTTATTTCAACATCACTTAAAATCTAAGTAGACACATAGTTGATTGGTAAACATGATATTTTCTTATAGATATTTCATTCGGATAATTCCCTTGATATACCTGATTTTTTCTTTGATTAATAAATTAGCAACGGGAGTGAGCCAAATACCTATAGACTATCCAAAAAACAGGAGACCGCCTTGAACTTCGCTTCCCCTATTTCTGTTCAGAAAGTCTAATTTTATGACTTGTACACAAACTGTGTAATTTAAAACCAAATACATTGACCCGTATTTGACAAACAAGTTGCAATATCGTTTTGATTAGAATAAAGACATTCCTTTCGGAAGTGAACATTTACTAGGTAACTGACGTTGACGGTCAAACTAGACCATTATTCATTTAGACAAATACATTCAGTTTTGTTTCACTCTGAAAAGCACCAAACTATTTTTATCAGGTCCGAATATTATATCGCAAGTGATTAGAGATTAAAATTTAAAACTAACTAGTTTTGTTGTTTCGTTGACAATGGGCATATATAAGCTCATATCTATAATAGTTTGTGAAACAGATTTTTTCGCCATATACAAACTGAATTATTCAAAGGGATGAATACCTCCACAAACCTGACATCGTCGTAGTTAAATGTGATAATTTGTCAGGTGAAAATTCAGTTCCAAGATCTCGTCATTCTTGCAATCATCAACTGAACCAATGAAAAGTGTTCAATTGCTTTGACGCTAAGATATAATTTAGTTGAAAATTTTGTAATGACAATCAAAAAGTGTTTATATCATTCTATATTAATTTGATGGACACATTTATCCTAGTATATATTATGAATTTTGTGTTTTAGGAATCAACAACAACATGTGATGTTTGCGTAAATACAGTTTATTATTTGTTATCTAGGTTACCTATTATGTGTATGTTCAGAAAAAGTCAAGTACAATAGTTCTAAATTAAAAAATTGTAAAAATCTCGTGATGTTTGAAAACAATCTGTTATAGTCTTAAAGTAATTGTAGCAATGCTGATAAATATAGATTAAGATAACCTCAAGGCAGCCTGCTTGAACATCTGGGCTACCTGTTCCTGTCATCTGGATATTTCAACAAGTTATCTGTTTTCTCGCTTGTCTTAACACATCATTATACCCATTGTTTGCAAAACCTATTCAGGTGCGCTTGTGAAAAGTTTACGGCATTTCAGAGACGTCGTGGTCGCTGGCAATATACATCGAAAACAATATACATTAATCAGATGTCGATTCATAAACAGCTAACATCTAACTGGCGACCACCCAATATTTATCGCGAGGGTCAATCAAGAAATAAGAAGTGGAAACTTGTTGAAATACTTTGTGTTGAGAATACTATATTGTACCAAAAATATAATATTGAATAAAGCTAATAATAATAAAATAAATGTGGAAATAAGATTATTCTGATTCCATAGCTGTAGTAAGAAGTGGCAATACAAATTGTTTTTATCTGATTTCAGAATTCTCACTTGTATTAGTAGTACTATGCATGTATGTAGTATTTAATCGGATACAAGAACATATGTAAAACAATAAACTTTTGTAGCCAATTATTTCAGCAGAATCTGGTGTTTCATTTCTTTCCTAGATTATTCATCACAGAATATAGTCAAACTATGTTTCAACTGCGTATCCTAATTGATTAAATAATGAAACTTATTGACTAAAAACAAATACATACTGCAAGAAGCCACATTATCGTGCATCACATAGATCTCAAAGTTTCTAGGTGAAGGATCTCAAAGGGATTGAAGTACTTATAAAAGAATAATTTGTATTTCATCTCATCTCACAATCACTTGCATTTAGTCTGGATGAAGCACTAAAGTGATATACTTTATTGGTGATTACTTGATTGTTTCTCATCTTCATGTGTTCTTTATGGAAACACTATTACACTACCTATCTTAACAGCTCACCGTAACAAGTTTTGTCTTATTTCGTTCATTTTTTCAGTAACATAAAATTTTTAATAAACACTATAAGATTCTATGCACAAAATTCGACTGTATATCAAACTTGTGTGGACTGGATTAGTAGGAAACAACAAGTTTATAAATAAATAACTTCAGGGATGAGAGTGATTCCTTGATATTAAACACTCCTTGTTCTGGTGGCAGTAGAGCTTTTTCCAATAAACAATCGGAATTTTATGGAACAGTGCATCTCTTCAAGCGGAAGGATAAATAAATATGTTCAACCATACACACACTTCATGGATTATCGACGATGACCTTGATACCAGGTTTTATGTTCATTATGATTAAATAACTGTTTTTTCTAATGGTAGATGAAATAACCTAATGGGCGTATTAATAAAATGTCAAGTGGTTGCAATCCATTTTCAATCCCTAATATATAATCAAGAGTTTTATCAGACTAAGCTGTTAAATTCACAGATCAAACATTCTCCTAATGTACGAACAATATGAATGCGATGAAATGAAAAACAATTTTCTATCAGCATAAGGAACTAGATGTTTTACTACAAATAACATAAACTTGATACTCTATAAAAGTAGTAAAAAAGATTGTACATTTATTAAATTCAAGAATGAAATGAGTTTGATGAATAAAACAGAGATTAAAACTACTTTCTAATCAGAACTCAATATAATATAGATTAAAGGCAATAAACATAATTAGATAATAAATCATCTTTGTAAACATTTAAATGAGTGAAATCAAAACTTTCTAACAAATATAACAAAATTTAGGCAAATTGATTTACCGAAAACCTAGACTCGACTTCTAGTCAGTAATACTGTGGTGTGTGCTACTTATATTGACATAAGTAGTAGATGATGTTAGTCGTGAACAGAATGTCTGACAGCAGAGAGACAAGAGGATCGAACAGTAAAGAATGGAAACAGGATGTAATTTGTATGGAAATGCAAGAACAATGAAGTCCGAGTCATTATGAGACAATTTGTGGACATTTTACAAATTAAGCATTTACTTTATGATTGTTAGATTTTATTGACAAGTCCTGTAATTTTGTGTCAAATTCATTCGATTGGTCAGATAAATATAGCTGAGCAGGCTTTTGAACCTACGACCAAAATAGGTTAACCATTAACACAACGTTGCAATTTTAAACAGCATATGGTAGAAAATCCCCAATAAGTAAATTTATTGCGACTTAGATCATGTGTTCTGAATGTTTAGCAATTTAACAAAAAATATATGACCCAAATTGAAAAATAATGCCTAGAAAATTTCAAAATTAATGTCAAATTAAGTAAATTTTCTAAGAACTCGTCATAAAGGAGACTAGAAGAAAAACATTTATCACTTCATTCTGAAGATCATAATCACACAAGAAGAAAATAGATTATCAAATAACTAATAGCAGTTAAAATGTGAAGGTCTAAATTTATATTCAATTTCTTTTAGGTCAGAGAATCGAATACTGAACAATATCTGACATACACTATATATATATATATATATATATATATATATATATATATATATATATATATATACCAGTAAAAAGTTCATCCTTTTACCATGAGAATCATTGAGATTAAATGCCATAATACATATAATCAAATCAAATCATGAGAAAGGTGAATAACAAAATAAATCATTGACCTTGATAATAGGAAAGGATTAAAAGAAATAAAACTTAATACATACAAATTGGTTGATGAATTGATGAATAGATAAATCAAAATTAATGACAAATTTTAAGGGAATTCAAATGATGAAGAAAAATGTCTTAGACAAATGTCTGGAAAATGTTATGAACACCCTAGGCATGTTGGAAATCGTAAGCGATTCATCACCATTTAAAAAATTAATCTTTCAAGTAAACTAATCCATACAAAATTATACTTATTCATAAATGTGTTTTTCAGTTTATAAACTAATGACTGTTTGACTGACAAAATGCATTGATTCATTTACATATAGACGTTTTACAACTTACAGACTTGGGCAACTGAGATAATATTTTTTTCACACTGATGCAGTAGATTACTAAACGCTTTTTTTACAGTGTATTGAACACCATTCGTTTGTTTATGAAAATAAATCTGAATTTTATTGTTCCACTCAATTACCTCTTAATTCCACCATATAAATAACAGAAAATCTGAAAAATTAAATTATCGTTGATTGTATATAAGAACACGGGATTTTGCTGCCATATTTAGTTCACTCATTGTTAGAAAAAGTGGGAAGAAAAGGTTGTCTATCATTCTTAATTTAAACATATTCTCAAAACGATATAGGAATGCGGTCCCTTTGAAGTTTCTTGGTTAACTAATTGTTACAAACATGTTTTCAGATAAAGACTGTAAAGACTGTGGGACATCAATTTACTATTTTTCGAATGAGTTGAGACTTCTTAGAAATGTAAACTAACTAAAACAGATGACTTTGTGTTATATCCCGATAAGAATAATGAATGGTAATTCTTGGGATCTATTTATGGACCAATGCTATGAGTATATTTTTATCGTATAATTGTTATGTAACTAAACTGTTCATATTCATGTCGCTCTTATTATAAGCTTTAATTTGACCCATGGACTATTATTATACGATTTAACATTCTTGAGTTATGGCCTGTCTACTAATTACTATCTCCCTCATTCACAGCCACTTTTGGCTAAATATTGTACAAATGTTATTTTCTATTTTATGGTACGTTGTGGTCTGTTTGATCGATATATAAACCGAGTATGTTTGAAAAAAATGGTTCATATTGCAGAGGCTGAGATTGGTGTTCTGGACTTAACTGGCTGGGCTAGACAGGAAACGAGACCAATCAGGACTCTAGGCTGCTCGCACGTGTTTTGTGCGTCACTGGTTCGATCGATAATTCGCTGTTCTCTGATTGGCGGTATTGTTGCGTTATACAATGAACAGGGCACGCAGGTTCACAAGTCATAACACTTAGAAGCCAGGATATGTAGGTGTTTCATTGAACCACAGTATAGAAATACAGTGTTCAGTGTTTGATAAGATCAGCCAATTTGTAACTGTCATGCATGGGCAACTGCTTTAATTCCTACTTGATTAACATGGCAGATCAGGACACACTACCGTATCAAATTACTCCTTTTCCAAAAGCAGATTCACGCAATTGGTTTCAAACTTAAGGACAAGCGTATTACATTGCCTAAGAAATCGATTGTGTTCTCGCTCATGTAGATGAGAGGTTAGCGTGTAGCACATAGTGCATCAGTATCAGATTTTAAACAACGCTCGTCAAAAAAAATGAGATTATTTCAATTTATGATAAAAAGTATTATGTTTTAAAATATTAAGTCATATTATAAATTACTAACAAAAATCACTAAAAGTCAAAGAATATAGGAAAGTTCATTATTCATAACAAAACATCAACGTCCTAACATTGACCATTCCATGTTATCGATTACGGGTCTTGAGTACAAACATTCACTTCTACGAAACATTAGGAAGGATAAAATGAATAATCACTATCTATAGAAAAATCAAGATTATAAAAAATATGCAATAGATTCGAATTACACAGTCATCCAGTTATCCTAATTCGTACTTCAAAGGGTTTTTGTATCCTAAATATCCCCTAATCTGTCTAAAACAAATAGACGAACAATTTTGTCATAAAATGGAATAATCGTGTCTTGAATAATTTAGTTAGCATAACAAAACTTTAAATTGCTTATTATTACTTTGAATTGATAAGTTTATTCTTTTCAATAGTAGCAACAATAGCGGAAATGAAATATGGATTTATGATAAGTCGGAAAATTTCAAAAGTTCATAGTTATGTACCATTAAATAGTCTTTAAATTCATCACTTGTAAGAAAAAACATTTCATGTTCTCGATCACTTGACTGTGAAAATAAATCAGGACCATCAGGATCTCCACAGCCTTCAAGATTATTAGATTCATTGGTATGTTTTATTGTTCTATAACCAGGATGAACCATAAATTCAACATTCTTACAATTTTCAAAAGATGATAAAGACTGATCCAATAATTCCATTGTTTGATTTTTTCCCATCAGAGCCATTCCAATAAATTTTTGAGTATATCTAAAATGTGATGACAATGATGCTTACTTTAGTTAAACATAAAATGAACACTGAATGTAGTCAATATTATTGAACGAATATACATACTTACGTTGCCTCTAATAACTGATCAATCATGCAGCATGTCCAATTATTTCAAAATTTGCACTTCATATGTGAAATCAATAATAGAAACAAATATCTGACCAGTAATTTGACTGTCAACAATAGCCTTAATTTCAAACAATAATCATATAGACTGACATACTGACTGATATTTGTACTTTAGATAGATAAAACCCAACTGGTGATCTGTTGGTTAATCGTTTGCGTATGATGAAAATCTAGATTACTGAAACTTAGATTACAATTCATGAGTGAATAATGGTACACACATAGATATGTAAGTGTGTTATCGCGAATAATTCTTCTTTTCGCTAGCAAAACAGAGCGATTTAATAGCAAAATACATTGCCTTCTTGACAGAAATATATAACCGAGTGAACCAAGAGGCCAATACAGCACCTATTCCCAAAAAAAAATAGAATCGACACAGCTTGGTGCAAAAAACAGTATTTTGGGTAAAGCTGACTGAAAATTCAGTTCGCACAAAATGTTTCAACATATATAAGCACTAGACACAAGTTAGAAAACATAATCGTTTATGAGGTAACAGACATTCATTTACAAGTTAATCTTTATACTATGAATGGGAATTTATGGATTTATGCAGTTTGAAAAACGATATTCTCTACCTAGAATGCACATAGACGATTTGCGCAATGATACGCCTATCTATCAATGTATCGAATGAATGTGTGCATGTTGAATGTTTTAAAACACGTTTCCCATTGTATAATCGAGCAAAGTACAAATCTAGCAACTTTCAGATACACAAAAATTACCCTCATTCATTCAGTAAATACCATACTACTTTAACTACTGTCTTTAATACAAAAGTCAGACATTGTAACCAGTATATCTACTAAAAATACATATCTAAAATACTAGGTGATTAGTTTGAATTTTATTGGGAATATATTGAACCAAATAGTATAAGCATCCAATAAATCTTTATTGGTATAAAACATATGTAGTAAATTTTACCATGAACCAACAATAATTATAATAACTCCCTGTAAAGTGAATGACAGCTTCATGCTAATATTTTACAACAGATATTAAACAATCATTACCAGTAAATACATAATGCTTATTAGACGTACTTTAAACTATAGGATGAAAATATTTCCTTTGCTTTCATCGCTTGATCAGATACTTCTCTATAGAAATTTATTTCAGCTAAAATGATACAGAGTTCAATCAAAAATTAACATAAAGTAATTGATAAAACAAAAGAAAAAAAGAAATGAAATGAAGAGTACATGTGGAGAAAAAAGAGAAAATCATCTCCCTCTTATCAATATAATGTAAACTCATCATTACTAAAAATTTATGACTATTCTCACTAGGAATAAAATGTGAAACACAAATAATACCAGTAAACAAAGTTAAAATTGTGAGATATTACAAACACTAATTAATAATGTTCAGAAGGATTGCAATATTACAACTCTCAGTAAGTAAAGATAAGAAATTGGCAAAATTAGATACAAACATTATATACTACGACAAAGTATAAGTAATTCCAATGAATAGGCTACTCTGTCAAATTATACTTGCTTCCAATACGTGTTGTTCAGTGCAATTCCTTTGTTATTACCCTATCAATATTTTTTGTTTATATGAGTGCTTCCAGGTTTTCCATGGTGGTCTAGCTTCAAATGACTCATGATCTCAACTGCTGAAATCATATGAGAAACGTTGAACGGTTTCTGAATAATCACCAACATAAGAGCCTAGACTGTATGAAGGTTTCCGAATAAAGAATACATGAGAACAAAATAAAATAAATAATCATAAACTATAGAGTATATCATTGAATGATGAATAATCGAAAGGAGCGAGTGAAGACAGCAGCGACTACATCATCTATCTATCTCTGTTACCACAGAAAACGTATATACTCAACGGAAAGTTATTAACAGAAAGGAAAGTACAGGCTAGTACACTATTAAAAAACACATTGATTGAGACAAATTGAGAAATACGTTTGGGTTTTCAAATCTGATATTAATTCTTTTTCTCCTCTAAACATATCGATTACTCACCAAATTACTTTATTATACCTTATTACTGTTAACATTATTCTTCTGTTAATTTATTTACAACCAGTGTATCAATGATAGACATTTTGATCCCAATACAAAGTTGTTAAACTACTCCTCTTTACTTGGTATATTAATATTTGCAATCTCAATAGTTTATAGATATTTTGCTTTTCATGCTACAAAATGATGCATAGACTAAATAGGGATTAAATGAATTTCTTTACAGAATGAGTTCTAAACAAGAATATAAATTAATGAGTGTAGTCAGTTCTTTACAATATTCGATTTTGTCTACTGGAGTTTATCAAAAATTAACAAATAGAAATTCATTATATCTCACTCTTCAACATATTTGTTGCACACACATAAATCTAAAATGGTGCATCATACAATAGCGTGTAGGTTAATAATAAATTATATATGTAGGCTGTTCAGTTTATTATGGTCGTCAATTTTGTTCATTATATTCTGTCAAGTTGTTTCTTTATAACTTTCTGTCTTTCTTTCCCAAGGTAATAAACTACTGTTGAATTGCATGTGATACATAGGAAATAAGAATTTTTACCACTTCATCGTTTTTCATGTAGTGATTTATAGAATAAACATTTTTCATACAGAAATTCGAAATAATAAAAAATCTAAGGAAACTGTTCAATAGTATTTGTGTCATAGGCATAAAGGCATGAGCTTAAATGTGATCATATTAGATAAACAGAAAAACAAAACCCTCAGTCGACATTTTCAAAATATTTACTTAAATTTTAGAGCAAATAAAAACACAAACATGTGATATCAATCCGATAATTATGTTGTAACGCAGAAATAATTCACAGTCGTTCTTATACGACAAGGCGATAACAAACAAATGTACATTGATAAAGAGTACATTAAGACCTTTTAACTTGATGAAATAAGAAATTTTGACCAGGTGGAAGACTAGATATCCAGGCTCTACCAAAGGCTATGAAATGTTTCGATGAAACTGACAGGTAACATTACTTATCTAAATTAACTTATGATATAAGAAGACTAATTAGTACGCCACGAATCATAAAAAGTACTTCATAGAAAAAGTATTATTTTTCCACATTGATTCGCAGAAAACATTCTTATGTAGATATCCCTTAAATAGAATGAAGGTTACTAGTTAACAACAACTGAACTCTGATGTTAATTAAAGAATGTCGCAATTTCTAATTCCAATCCGTTTCGGGTGTAAGACAACCATCCACCCAGACAAGAGATGAAGGGTTTCGGAACATAGTGGAGCGATTGAAGTTGGACATTAGCATCGTTGGATATCGACTCAATGGTCTGGAGGTTAAGCGTTCGAGCGCGAAACCGAAGGTTTTTGTTTTCAGTCCCACGTGCAGGATCGTGATGTGCACGGCTGAGGAGTTTCGCACTAGGACAAAATTTCGTTCAGTGGTTCCACGTTTCTGATAGTGGTCCAGCTTAAATCGACTAGTGAATCCAGCTGCGAAAGTTCTTAAATAGTCAGAACTTGATTAAAAAAATCAAATATAATAGCATTGATCCCACGTTATTATTTCTTACTAATTTCATTAAAAATTTCACATCATGGTCTTCTACTAAACATTTGACCGAATTTGTAATTGCACTATAATTCCTCTTATCCTATCTGACCCACATTTATTCTGATCATGAATTTTAAGATTTTACTCAACATATAAGCTGATTCCGTATAAGTCATTTCAACATTAACAATCCTAAATTCATACGTTATAACTTTAAACGATGTACTTTGTCATAAACCTGGTCACTTTACGGATTATTAGTTTGAATATATAATTGTAGAACCTGAAAAAAATTTATTGAAAAGAATATTCTTCGTTCATATATTAGTCTTTTAAGATGATGGGGATTTTTAAACAAGTAAAAATAACTTTCTAGTCCTCTGATATTTCCAATGATTATATCAACTTTTGGTGGACAGTTACAATGAAATTTCTACAGGCACGTTAGAACATCTTTTATATTACTGCAGTACACTAAGGTGGAGTATTTCAGTATGTCACAATCAACATTAGTATTAACAACAGATATCAGGTTAAGAGTAAATGTCGAGCAATCCCAAAACCACGCAGCCCTTTCATGTAATAAGTCAGACGAAAAGCTTTCTTTGTTAGTAATAAAACATGAGAAAACCAAGAGTGATCAGGAGAAAAACTTACACCAAGATAAATGACTTTTGACAGTTTTTATCAAAGAATCTCCAATCATACAAGCTTTATGGGATTATCGCATCTGACCAACTCAATGTGCATTTACCAATTTACCTGCTCATGTGGAGCTAGGTATATAGGTCATTCGATACATACTTTATCCAAAAGAATTCAAAAACATTACCCAGCGTGGCTAAGAAGAGGAGGAAACGGTTCAGTAAGAAGTTCAATAACTGAACACCTTGTGAACACAGGTCACTCAATCAACACGGACTCTACGTTCAAATTCATCTACAAGGTAAGTAGAAGTCTTTTAAAGGCAGTCATATTGCATCTTCTTTCAATTGCCGAAGCAATAGCCATAAATCTGGAAAAATCAGAATTGTGTGTGCAAAAGAGATTGGTACAACGTCTTCTACCATGGTCTTAATGTCCAATATTTTTTTCTTCTTCCTTTACAGTCATCTGCTTCACCTTCCATCTTCCCCTTGAAACTTTCTACCCCCCACTGGTTTATTTCTACGATTACATTTAATTTCAATTTCATCATTTTATCCTATCATACTGAGCCATTCTTTTGCAATGATAATTTCCTTATCTATCTTTTGATGAATACTTAAGCCATTAACTGTCAAACGCTTATTAAGTTCTAAAAAAAATTTGATACCTTCGTTTATTTTACCTCACTGTCACCATGTCTAAGAGAAGTTTATTATCAGTATTATTATAATTATTATCATCCTGAAAAATAAGTATATATATTTGCGATTGTACAGCTTCGAAAATAAATTCGCAGAAAAGAGAACTCTTAGCTGAACTAATCCTCCTTATTATGCGATTCTAACAATGTTTAGGTACTATTCATGTCTCAGGCTAAAGTTAACAGTTTGACATTTAAACAGGTTAAATGGGAGACCGTTAACAACAAACCATTCAAAAAGAAACAAAAACTCATTAATTTCACGGAGATATAGAGAGGTAAAAATCGGCATGCGTACAGTGAGATCGTTTGCATATTTAACAAGTGTTTTCTGTGGAAGATGGAACAAGTGAAATTTTCACAAGTGCGATTACTAAACATTTAGTGGATAGTAGGCGCAACTCGGACGTTTCGGAAGCATTTAAAGTAATCAACGTGCAACGTACACCACTTTTACTGTTTTGCAGAGGCCACTGCCATCAAACGCTTTCGACCAGACCCTTGCATATAGAAAGGAAGTGTGGTGCACCTATCATCGACATGACATTATAATTGTATTATTCTAACGGTTATCAGTTACGTTATCTCGTTAATATGGTTTATAACTTAAAGTAAAAAATCCCATTGACAATCATGCAAGACATTAGCTTTAATTTTACGTTAAAAAGACGCCTTGATTATCACTCATTTGTTAAGAATTTGTCCCTTTATTACCACTCACAAGTTTATCCTCTTTTCCGTTTTTTATGATTTCAACTTCAACACATAAATATTGATCAATCCTAACTATTAAGGCACGTTGTTCCAGCCATTTAAGGTTGGTCAGGTCATATCCGGTGAAGTAGGTGTGGCTTTTCTGGAATTGGATTTCTTGTTTTCAAGGCTCATAAACCCACTGGGTAGATGTGAATGCGCGGGAGAATTGTCAATCCCAGGTCTTGGAGCGCGAGCATCGCACCAGAGGGCAAGTATGGTCTATATGCATACCAGCTATACATAAACCTTCACTCGTGCATTCCTTGGCATACACATTGGTATATTTACCCTGTGAGCAAATAGATGTTACATGCACACCGATAACATAAGTTTCACTTATGCATCCCACAGAATAACATGAATGTAAATTCACCCACCTGAGAGGGTAGATGGTCACCGCTCCCCTTTGGACATTTTTCATACAACTAACTATCTTACGCATTACATGCATACCACTAGTACAAAGACTTTGTTTATGCACTTCATGAAATACACATACATATAACACTCTCAGGTAGAGTTGATCGTTACCTCTCCCTAGTATTTGCCACTGCATCTTTCTTTGTGTCTTCGGCTATTTGCATTAGGCCATAAGGCAGATGTTTCAGATTACGTTCTTGTTGAGAACCCACACGTGTACCCTTTGAATATACTTACATAAACAAGCTACACAAACTGAAACGCATATAATGCATATACATAAGCATACACATCAGGCAGCCCGCAAGATTTAGTGAACCCCGAGTTGGAACCCGAATAATCCAGTTTACAGAAGTGGTGAATTAGTCAGATCTCCTCCGACCGCCCAAATTACCTATCAGTGTTGTCCCCACTACCAAGCAGCACCGGAAGGGGGCTTTGAGTTGGATTTCGCTGCCAACTAGTTTATTGAATATGTTGATTTTCCTTGGTTCTCAAGTTGTTGTGAACTAAACTCCATTGATTACAGTACGTAACAACACTTTTTATAATAATAGGCCTTTTGCAGCTGATAAGTCATGAAATATAATGAATTTATTTTATTCTGCATATTGTTATCTTGTTATTTAAATTTATCAGGAGATCAGGATGTACGAAATTTATTTGTGTTTAAACGAATATATCCTAAAGCACTCTTTAGTTTAGTAAAAACTTATAACTATTCGCCCGTTTATCTTTGAATATATCTCGTCTCTTCCAATTCAACTCAATATTTAGAACCAATTACAAAAGCTGTGGAAAGTAATCCAAAAAACATTGTGAATGTTTTTAACAAGTCTTGTTACTGATCAAATATAATATTAAGCTTTAGCTCTGTGTATAAGATTGCTGCTTGCATTATATTAATCTGGAATAGTTGTAAGTTGAACACCTTTTAAACACATTTTTAAGATCCTCTTCTGTCATTTTACTCCCTTTATTTTTTACATACGTTTCTCGCTATATAGTGTTTTTATGAAACTAATAACAAGGGATAGAATAAATGCTAATAATCTTTATAATTTGCAATTTAAGATTTTACAACTTTAGAAACAATGCCTTGAAGCCAAATAGGTTTGTTTCCCCATTCTATATCATTTATGCTTTTTTATTACATGGTTGTATGAAAAGATTACGAACAATTTATATTTTTCTTCATAGTAATAATAATAACAATAATTCTATCCTTAGTAATTGAACTTTAACCTCTCATATGATTTAAAACTACTGTGGCTATATAGAATGGAATAAATTGCATTCGAAATACAGTAGTACTAAACATTCATAATTATAATAGAATATTTAACGTACATGAAATAATTACAAAGCAATTTAACTATAAAATTATTTACATAAAGACGAGATAAATTGAAGGTCAATAATAAACCATTTAGTTAAGTCAAACGGATAGTTAATAAGAAAGTGAGGTTACATACTCTCTATTATCACATATTAGTTGTATACTCCATTATCATCCTTCTAGATATACATGCATTTATACATTTAAGTAACAAACTATAACACTGACTAAGTAAGTGATAAACGACACAGCAAGGCAAATGTAAAAGTCAGCGGAATTTACCCATATATGTAGGTAAAAGTCAAATGGTAATTCCAAACTGAAACTACTGATTCACGTTTACAGTAAAAATATATGACACTGAACAAAGAGTGCATTGTTGGAAATTTAAAGAGGATACATTTACAATCTAATATGAGTAAAGATTTTCAATAGCATGAAATAACAGGACATAACAATTGCCAGCGGCAATGTATCTTCCCATATGAAGAATGTTCGTTTACTAAAAATCCCCTAAGTTCGTTATACGCTCGGGCTATAAATTATTTTGTTAAACGAGATTTTATTTCACATTTACGATTGACGTCATGTTAATACCAGCGTGAAAACTGTTGACAGAATCTTCTGTTCAACAACTCTTATTATTATTTCAGAATACGAGTTTGGAAACACAATATTCAGGTAACCGGAACTGTCTAACTATGACAAATATCATCAAATGAATGCAATCACACTGAGATATCAACATTAGTCTCAAATAAATTTATCACGTATGTAATTCCGACGACTTTCACTATGAACATTGTTTTCACAACGAGACTCAAAGCCTGAATAACTGATCATTTTCTGATAACTCTTCGTAGATTGAAGGATAAGTAGCACAGTCGGTTAGCTAATAACATACTTAAAATACTTAAATAAACTCACGAGTAATTACGTAAACAAGCGAAGAAGATATTAGAAAGACATGAACAATAACAGTCTCTCGATTTCAATCTAAGCGACAATGAAAATAGAAAGCCTCCTTACAGTATATTAATGGACTGTTACTGTCTTTCTCCATCAACATAGTACGCGTTATTGACTTTTCAACACACACCTTCAAACAACCAAGCAAATAATTGAGAATATAACACAAATGACATAATACACAACGTATATCAAAATAACAACTATACATTTCAACTTACATTCAGTAATACAACAGGATGTTTCTGGAATATATTCAATGGGAACACGAATCCATTTAATCCCAAGTCGAGAGATAACTCTAGCTACGACCAGGTCAATCCCTTTTTAAACGAAAACAAATCAGATGAATAACCTGAACAGTGAGTTACAAAATATTTACTATCTGAATGTCATATTTTTCTTGATGTGAATGACATATGCTATAATCTCCAAGCAACATTAATTTGGAATATAGTATTCGTAATCCTACTTTATTCCTTGTCTTTTCTTCAAGTTCAACGATTCGGAGTATCAAACTCTAAACTTATAATAGCTTTGATTCCAACCACTTCTTAAATGCTGACATTTAACAAAGAAAAACAAATCCAAGTAGTACACTTGGATTTTTTGACAAATCATGCACAGTAAGAAATAGTAAGACTAACACAGCATGCAAGAACAATCGCTGGTGTTTTTCAGAATCTAAAATAGAAGATCGTTTTCACAACACACTATTAGTACCTCTTATTTTATAAAATAGCCAAAGTTGTGTGATTACAGACTATTTTTATTGTTTAAAACGATGTAGGATTTCAGATATCAGAAATTCTTGTCCAAATATTGTGAATAGACACATACTACTTACAACACAACAAGTAGCTCCATAGTTTAACGTACAAAACATTTAGTGTAGTGTTAGACACGGAAATGTAGTAAAACTTCACATGGACGTTTATTTCTTGACTAAAAGTCAGATTCAAGTATTTTGTACTCATGAACTTAACCTATATGTACGATTATGAAGGTCTTCAGACTGAGACTGATCATCTAAATGCAAACAAAGTTACTAGTGATTTGATCCTAAATTATCAATATGTCGTCTACAGAATTCACATAACTAGAATTCTAACATGCAATACAACAACAAAGAACATTGAAATAAACATGTATCATCTACAAACTGAAGAAAGGAAACTGAGTAAACAAACACCTGAAACTGGGAACGTTCCGAGGATGATTTCCAAGAGGTTGACGTGACAAGAATTTACGGTCAGTTAAAGATGACAATCAAAAATACTTTCCTGATGCACAAATCAGCTTCGACATAATAAAGAGTACGAGTCTACAGTCCTTTCAGGATATGTAGGTAAACTGATGTCAAAAATGATTTGGACATGGTCAATGAACTACTTGTACATTCAAACTGTTTATTAATGTGTGAACATAAAGGAATAAGAATAATAACGTAGTTAGAAGCAACATCCTTAAACATTTCACTCAACCTACTCATAACTTTCCTCTGAAGGTTAATAACTATTTGCTTCTTGGATTTCTTGAAAATATAAATATTATAAATTAATCTCACAAACTGTATGAGATTCATGTATACTTCAAAGTTAAATCGGAATACACACCTGGTAAAACATGAACATGTTGATGACCATCGAAATGACTGGGAATAGTTCCAAAAACATCTCGAAATGCATTTATTTGTGATTCCAGTTCAACTTCAACCTAAAGTACAATACATTGAACAAAAGATTTATTATTATTTAACAACAGCTTTCCCAAAACATCTCAACTAGGCAGATAGCAGGGGACAGAATTTCTAAAATTAATACAAATGTCAAGTTGTGTGGAAAAACGAACGAATTTATGGAAAAAAACAACCACAAGCAGATTTTAATTCCACAACTCTAAAGCTGAACATCATTTACTGACAAATATGTCAGACTTATTACTGAAGTGCCCCAAATTAAAACTAGATACCTGGTCAATCCATTGACCCCATTAATTTTAATCCTCAAAGCGTAGACATACTATCATAACTGGCAGTGATTGAATTGATATTCTAAGTAAGAATACCCAGAATAGTTCAATTTAAGTCATATAGAACTCGATGACCGCAACTGAACACATTATCTTTAAAATTCAAAAATACGAAAATCAAATATTCCATTGTAAAAAATACACCAAATATCAGCCTTTGAATAGGTATTTAGAATACTGAAATTTTGATTGAAACAACAAAAACAGAACGGTAGTTTATCAACCAAGAACAATCGTTTTGCAAAGAAAGCTCATGAAACTCACTTCATTCATGTGAATGCCAGAGAACACCAACTTTCTCCGAAATCCGTGCTTACCAAGAAAATAACCATGATCATTCAGTAAGCTTCGTACAAACTTCGTATTGGATAAAGGTTTTCCTTCAGTCAAGTTAAAATGTAGACCTAAAAGAACGTCAATCTAAACCAGATAATGATAAATGTTGTCTTAAACACTTGATTAGATATGGGACCTGCATTGAAAAGCACATTCACATCACTCCTTTATCGATCTTGAAACTTAAACCGTTCACTATCTCCACAATTTTACTGATTATCTTCATCATTTGACATTTTTTCACGTGCATATTCAGACAAATTAGCGTTCTGTTCGCATTGAGCGTGACTTTCACCGGCAGATATTTACGAATTTCATCCAACATTTTCACCGATTTTGTCACAAATTCAAGACTAAATTGTCTTACATTTATAAGTGATCCTTAGTTGAAATATAAACTCTTGGAGGGACTCATTTTGGAGACACATGTGTTCTTTCGTAATATATGTACGAAATATATTTAGGGACGTGCAGTTAATAAATTTTATGACATGTAAAGTCAAAAATGAACACTTATACTGGACTAAAATGTATGGATGTTGAAAGTATGGTGGTAAGTCGCTATGGAACTGTGACCAACTAATCAAACAAGAAAGATAACCTGAAGATCAAGGTTAGCTCTATGCAGTCTTGGATGAAAGAAACTTATCTGCTCTACCAAAAATTGAATTAGCCGGCTAATAGCCTATATTTCACTGGGCGCATTTACAAAAGATATGAACTGAATGGTGAATGAATTGAAAGGATTAAGAATCGGGTTACCAACGAACAGAAACCAGCCACATTTCAACTGACTGAATAGACCATCAAACAAAAAAATATAATGAACTTAACACCCTACTGTATGTAGTTTAATACATATTTAGAGGAAATTCACACCGAAACTATAAAATAACTGATCATTTCAACAAATTTAGAAGACATGATTCCGTATTCTTAAAACTAAAACTTGCGAGTGTATCTGCAGTTCCGAATCACATAAAAGTTGATAAACCGAAATGTATTAAGTCATTACGTTTGTGATTTTTGTATCACGTGTCAATAAAAGATAACATGAACCTTTTGTAACTACACATCATAAAACTAATCATCTGCATTTATTACGCTACAGAAAATAACAATATAATAATTTGATTTACTAAATGCCAAACTGAAAGTCCGAAAAAACTTATAGGAACTAAATAGATTCGTTAGATTCGGTTTGTTGATTTCAGTGACAATTGGCTCACACGTGAATGAGAAACTATTATAGGCGGTGCATAATCTTAAGATTCTAGATAACTACAGACTTACATTTGTCCTAAATAACTTGTTACATCAATGATTTACTCGAATAATTTCTGAAACAGCAATTTTTTGATAGAAAATGAGGAACTAATCATCACTAATATTCACCTTCGTTCGCTTCGCACGACTTATTTGTGGATTTGCAGACAAGGTTGAACACTAAAAACTCTTTAGAAACTTAAAAATAAGGATGACCGGTTTTCAATGCTAAAGAAGAATTATAAGATTCTTCGGACTAAGCATATGATAAAGTATCGAAATTGGAATCCTGCAGATTAATCATTTGAAACAGTCCGAAACACTCTAAAACGGTTATGAAAGTTTCTGTTTGTATTAGCATTTAATACTGTGGAAGTATGTAGCCAAAATCTTTTGTAAAGTCTTGTTATACTTAGATTTGATACTTTTTCTTCGCTTGCTTGAACGTATAACTATGAAACGCTCCATTCGATTAGAAACCTGGCTTTCATTTTGCAAAACGTAGTCGGAAACACAAATCAATTCATCGAAAAAGTTTTATTCAAAAGAGTAACACCAACAAACGTCATACACATTTGGAACTCTCACGACCAACAAATCAAAGGAACGAGTTAAATAAGATATCTCTGAATCTCAAAAGCGAATTCTATTACAACTCCAACTACAACGGTACAGCCGATAAATAGAATGGAAATACGCTTCCCAATTTTGCATCTCATGTTTCAGTTTTTGTACCATAACATTCCATATAGTGATCTAAGCGAACCACCATTAAGGTTACTCAGTTGTTCGTAATGACATGAGTCAAATAATTTGTAGTTACAATACATTCTTAACAGCCACCTTTATCTAATCAAATTTATTGTTATTGCAGTTTTCATACGTGAGATTTAGACTTATGTGCCACGCGCGATTAAAGTAGGTATTAGGGTACAACTTCATTAGCACTGATGCTCTAACTACCTCTACTATTGTGGTATTTAGCCTGAGAACTTCATCTCTCTGGGCCAATGGGGTCTGGCAACTTGAACCGACGTACATACGCACAGGCTCTATATTGTGACTATCTGAGTATTGTAGGGTCAGTGGAATGTCACTGAGCCCTAGACAAACCATCCGGTAGTTGGATCACTGAATATCGAACAGATCATCGATCCCTTTCAAAGTTAAGGACAACCAACGCGCATCAGTTAATCGTATGCAATGGGACTGGCCAATGTGTTGGTGGTCTCACTATCTTCTCTGTACTCTTTCTTACTAATATATTTCCATAATAACGTCCTTTGTGCTGTATGGTCCTCAAAGTATCAATAGTACCTTGATACAACGAAGGGGTAATCCACGTTAGATGCTGACTGCGAGCCGTGATTTTGACGTTAGCTGCTGGTCACACCACTCCCGTTTAACTCAAGTAGGCCCTCAATCATTCGACATAGATCATCTACGTTGGTGATCTACACTATGCTTCGGATAGCTATATCTGACTCAGTGAGTACTTTAAAGTCCACTGGGATTAATGAATGTATCAAATTAGTAAAAGTGAACTGAATGATTTGGGTAGTAGGTAACTACCGCAGTTTTTATGATAATTGATGTCATATGTATATAGTGACCGGTAAGAAAGTAAGACTTCTTAGACCATTCATATACCTCCAGAGAGCGCGTTTGCCCGTTTATTCAAGAGCAACGTTTTTAGTGAGCCAATATCCCAAATCAGAAAAGCTACCGTAAATAAAGAAAGAAGCAATGATATTTTGTGAAAACAAGAAAAATGAATAGAAACTTGGGCAAGCACTGACGACTGTCCCACACAATAAATGGGATACAAGAATCGGTCACTCAAGTCTCAACAAAAGTCGATGATCAACACAGTGAACAATGTGTAGATATAAAGTGAACAAATTAGCAGAAACATTGATGTTTTCAATAAAGTGCATATTGAACAATATTACCTGGGATGTGTCTATTCCGTGAGATATGTGAGAACAGTGAGGACATCTGTGGTCTTTTATGGTGTGGACAGGAAAGCAAACTTTTTGCAACTGCACCATTCATTAGAACTGAAACGTCCGATACCCCACGATCTACTGTTGAAAGACAAGAAACAATGCCCCGGTCCCTAATATCCGAGTAAAACCCATCATCTGCATTTACAATAATTTCAGTACTTCTAAATCCACAAGATCCAGATGCCATATAGTGTGAAAAATATACTGTGATTCAGTACTATCCGGTATCAAAAAACTAAAAGTGAAAACAAAACACTAAACATATTGCTGAGTTAAAACTATAAGTTCATTCAGTCTTCAGTAATAAAGATAGTAGGTTGGTTAACCTGTGTTAGTCCTGACAGATTGCCTTCCAGTGAAGGTCCAGCTTCACCTTGGAAATATTCACTGATGTGGCTCATACCATTTGTTCGGGTAAGGCATTCCAGTCATTGACCCCACTTAAAGCTTATTAGATCGCGGTTTGTGAACCTTCTTGCTATGAAATCGTAGATTATTAGTGCTGGAGAAGGTAAAAATATAAGACAAACAGACACTCAAATCATAATTAAAGATACGAAATGCCAGTATAAGGTCACCTCGCATCCTACGATACGACAAAAAGAAAAGGTCTAGGCGTTTTGAACGCTGATCTTAAGGGGTTTTAGAAGGACCTGTATCGTGGAGTCGAGTCGCAGCTGACTATAAATATATGATCATCACTATATGATCATATATATGATCACCATTACAGGAAAACTACGTGCCAGTTAACCGATAGGATCCTCCGTGAGACAAATATCAGAAAGCAGTTGCTGACTTTATTTGTTGACAATCTCGTTGTATTGAAAGAATACCGAGATCAAGCCAGGTTACTGAACGTAACCGAATCCGCGCAAGGTCACAATCAAACGGAGAGGTATGTGTTTCGGGACAGTTAAACAAACATATACGGTAAAACAATCCCTGGTACAATTGGTCATAATATTAAATGTTTCCATTACACCGATCGCGTTATCTTGATAAAAGTAGGTCACTGCAGACCCTTCACTTATTTTGTGGAGACATGACTGACAAGCTTATTTTGTAAATAGTTTTTAATATTATTTGTATTTGTTCGTCAAATTTTCACTGTATGTACATTCATCATTAAATGACTGTACGTGTTGTTTTACTCAATGACCTTGAACACGCTTTCCGTTGAGCTACTACATAGCGTGACATATTCTTGCTGGTTAACAAATACATTACCACTCACGCATTCCTCGTTCTATTTTTATTTGTGATTGAGTTAACGGAAGTCTAAATCAAATACTATCTACAATTATAGACTATAATCGGAATATATCACATCCTACGTTGGACTATATCGCTAGAGAGTTCGCCAACCTGCTCAGAGTCATCAAGCATTTATAATTGTGAATTTACATTACTGGACCTAATCAGAACACGCAACGTTTGGTCAATTTAAGTAACGTCCTTAATTATTATTGTATGTGTAGCAATTAATTGTATATATTAATATTACAATTGATTATTAATAACTTTGTTTATACGTTTAGCGTTCATATCTGTTTGGTCCACCACAATTATTTGGTGAGCCTCGATTATTTTTTTATAGACATTTACTTTATATATCTACATAATTTTTTTAATATCATTAATTGGCACGACACAATTTTT